TTTGAAGCCTGCTACCCATTCCTTTCCTTTGGTGTCCTCTAGTCCTTCTATTATGGGAACTAATGAAGAACTTTTATTTATGCACCCTGTCCACCCCACTTGGTCTTTTATAGACCTCTATCATATCCCCCCTCCATCTCCTCTTTTCTAAGCTGAAAAGTCCCAGTCTCTTTAGCCTCTCTTCATATGGGACCTGTTCCAAACCCCTCATCATTGTAGTTGTCCTCCCCTCTCCCAGCCTCTCTCTTCCCCTCTCCCACCTCCTTTTCCCAGTCTCCCCCAGTTTTGTTCAATAGAGAGAGATTCTGTTTTTGAACACAATTTTCCTTTATTTTGTACATCAGGAAGGGGGGCTAGGGAGGGGTAAGTGGAAGCAGGTGAGGGAGGAATGGGGTACGAGCCCCTGATGGGGAGGACTGGGCTTCTGGGGGTGGAAGCTCTCCTGCAGCCCCCCAATTACCCCCTCTCCCCAGATGGCAGCCTGCGGCAAGTGCAGCCGGGCTGATGTCCGAGTGGTGTGATGTGCCCAGTGTGGGTACTCCGGGCAATCCAATCCAGGACTGCTTTGCAAGAGGGGCACCCCTGAGAACTGTCTGTCCGGGGTGGGGGTCGGGTCCCTTTAAGCACAGCCCTCGGCTAGCCTGAGACAGCAGCTCCACACTCTAAGTCCTCATCTGATGCCCTGCCGGCACTGCTTCCGGCCATCCTTAACCCCGGTTCAGGGTCCACTCTGTGTGGACATGCTAGTTGGAATTAGCAAAACGCTAATTCGAACTAGTTTTTTAGTCTGGATGCGTTAGTTCGAATTAGCTTAGTTCGAATTAACTAATTCGAACTAAGTTAGTTCGAATTAGCGCTGTAGTGTAGACGTACCCTAAGGCAATAACACAAGGCATGCAAACTAAGCTTGATTCATTAATGAAACTGGTTACAAACAGTGATTCCTCAACTGAGATATTGTTTTTGGTAGATTCCTTGACAGGCCTAGTGTCTTTCAAGCAGGGGGTCAGGGCTGTTTCCCACTGTGGCACTTTCAGTACAGAGGGTGGGGGTCCATAATAGACTTTAAAAATACTTTGCTACTAAAGGTTTGTGTCCAAGGACCCCAAGCTCACAGATTCTCTGGCCTTTGATTGGTATCTTCACTGTTAACCAAATGCAAAACCTCTTAAAGAACCATGAAATGTGCACCTGTCAAATCCTTCCTGTAAGTGACACTCAAACTATTTTAAGCTTCTGTCTGTAAAGGCCTTGAAAATCCAGCCATTGCAATCAGCTGAAGAGGGAACTTTAATTTCTCTGATAAGTTTGGCTGTGTACTTTTAGGCAAATGCACACAGAATCTCCCACTTTCTAGGACACAGCAATCAGATAATGTTCTGATAAGGGTGATTTTTAATTAAGAAAGAAAAAGAAAAATAGAGAAAACACATATGATCGAACATTGCTTGGTTGCTTGGTATTACAGAGCAACTGGAAAAGGGATTAAAAACAGAGGGAATTGTTTCCCAGGGATTTAAGTTGGAAATTTACAATGAAAGGGGGTAGTTACATGTGCTCAGTCCAGAGAAGACCAAGAAATCCCCAAAATAAAGAAAATTACCTCATCTCATCTTACTAAACATTCCCTGTTCTACTCACACAGCTGTTGTTTATGGAAAGTGAATATTTGCCGTTCATGGATGATTCTCAATGCCAGGTTCCCCAGCTCTTCACTAGTTCTTCTAGGGGCTGTTTTCCTGCCATACAAGAACAGAAAAGGCTCCAACTTACAGTTCAGAAGCCCACATTGTTTTTTCATTGGCTCTCCTGGACGGTTGCCATTCCACTTCCTGCTTCTGTAGCAGGTAAGGAAATTAGGGTTTGGTCTAAACAATTAACTAGTGACAATTAACCCCCACCCCGGACAGACAGTTCTCGGGGTTCCCTGCTTGCTTGTCTGCCTTGATGAGGGACAGCAAAGTAGTCCTGTCTTGGAGTGCCCTAAGTGCCCTAAGTGCCCAGGACGGCACTAAGGAGAGCGTCCATTCTCAGAGCCTCCGTGGTCCTCCCCACCAGGGGCTCATGCCCCATTCCTCCCTCACGTCCTTTCCCCTCCCTAGCCCCTCTTCCTGATGTCAAATAAAAGACACGTATGTTCAAAAACAGAAACTGGATTTATTGAACAAAACTAGGGGGGGAGGGGATGAACCTCTGCGGAGACTGGGAAAAGGAGGTGGGAGAGGGGAAGAGAGAGGGTGGGAGATGGCCGTGTTCCTCTGTCTAGTGCGGAGATCATGGACGTTGGGGGCATCCCCCCCAAACCTGAATAAGGTCCATGATCTCCACTCTGGACCACACTCTGATCCTGCAATAGATGTGGTCCTCCTGGGAGCTGGAAGACTGCTCCTGTAGAGCTTTAAAACATGAACCCTAAATACTCAAGTAACAAAAAGGCCAATAAAAATCCAACATATTTTATTTTTAAAGAATCTTATGATTTGTAGACCATTCTCATAACTTTGTGTAGGCGTTCCTTGTGATTTTGGGGTTGGCAATACTGCTCTTTGATTGATGAATTTAGAGAGGTCTCCCTTCCGTTTCCCTTTCCACCCTCCTTTTTTGTCACAGGTCATCAGAGAATCATAGAGACAATGGAGAGTAGGGTGAGTCCATGACTCTGGTTAATGACTGGTCAGGGTGACTAACTATCATCAGCCAGTGATCTGAATGAGCTATCTACTGCCATCTGCTAATCAACTGTAGGAAAAGGCTTCATGAGCAGACCTTATTTATATAGACCACCTCCTTTGCCACAGAGATCAGGAGACATACTTGCTGTGTCAAGGTGATCAATTTTGGTTCTTTTGGGTTGAAATTCACTTAAGACTTGGAGCTGGGAGAATGAAATGTTGTTATCCCTATTGTATGATTAAAAGGTAAAAGACCTGAACTTAATATGACGTGGCTTAGGGTCTACCATAACTTGAACACTAAGCAGAGGATAGTGAGTCACATCTAACTGAAAGTCACAGAAGATGGAAACAGGTTTTATTTCTGGTATAGAGTCTATTTGGGAGTCCTCAATTATATCTGACACTTTACCTCCAGGCTTCGTCTAGACTGGCATGATTTTCCAGAAATGCTTTTATCGAAAAAGTTTTCCGTTAAAAGCATTTTCAGAAAAGAGCATCTAGATTGGCACGGACGCTTTTCTGCAAAAGCACTTTTTATGGAAAAGTGTCCGTTCCAATCTAGATGCGCTTTTGTGCAAAAAAAGCCCCGATTGCCATTTTACCCATCAGGGCTTTTTTGCACAAAACAGTACTGTGCTGACTACACTGGCCCCCTTGCGCAAACGAGTTGTGCAAGAGGGCTTTTGCCTGAATGGGAGCAGCACAGTATTTCCGCAAGAACACTGACGATTTAGGAGGAATATACAGTAACAAAGGCTAAAACCTTCCTGGTTCTGGGTATAAGGCAAACCTGCTGAGGTTTAGGAGGAAACTTTCCCTTGAACAGGATAACCGTGTATACCTCTGTGGGATTTCCTCTGAAGCTGCCAGAACTGGATACTAGAGACAGGATACGGACCTGGCAAGTCCCACATCCCTAGATATCTACCAGACAAAATCATTGCTTAACTGGAGTAATTTCTCATTGCCAGGACATGTGAAGTGGTGGAACACTTCACGGCATACAGAGATGTTCCATGCCAAACCAGGTGAAAGTCAGTCACTTGTTAGCATCTTAATACCTCTCTGTCTGTCATAAAGTGGGACGCAAAAGAAAAAACGTCCCCTGTGGACTTCCTCTCAGACTAATGAAGCCTCCCTCTTTTGAGGGTATCATTGAAATGGATCCCAAATCCCCCATTAAATGGTTCTCGAAGCCACATTGAGTCATCGCACTGGAGTTGCACTGAAACATACCAGGAGCTGAAAATGTCTGTTCGGGTGCAGGGAGCTAACGTGTTAACATCCATTTCTTGCCCTCTCTTTGCAATGTGGAAGAAACCAGTCAGCAAGTCGTATGGTTCTGGACTCAGAACCATTTCCCCTTCTGAGACAACACACAGACCATTTGTTCCCACAGCTTCTTGGTTTTCATCCCATAAACAAAGGGGTTTAGCACGGGGGCAATGAGCTGGTCGAGATCGGCCAGCAAGATGTGAATATGTCGAGGGACATTATGGCCAAAGCGGTGGGTTAACACGCTGAAAAAGGCTGGGACGTAAAATAGGAGGATGATACAGACGTGTGAGCCGCAGGTGCCAAGAGCCTTGAGCCGAGTGTCTTTGGTGGGCAGCTTGAAGACAGCCCGGAGGATCAGCACATAAGACACAGCGATGAACATAAAATCTACTACAATAGTTAAGAGAAACATTGAAAAGCCAAACCAGATATTGATGGTTATGTCTGCACAGGCCAGCCTGGCCACCCCGATGTGATCACAATGGGAGTGTTCAATGACATTGCTTGCGCAGAAGGGCAGCCGTTTGAGGAGAAAGACAAAGGGGACAACCAGACAAAAGCTTTTGATGACAATGGCCATGGCTATTTTCCCTATGTTTGCATTGGTGAGGACAGTCGTGTACCTCAGGGGGTTGCAGACGGCGACGTACCGATCGAACCCCATGGCCAACACGATGGCCGATTCTGTAGCAAATACAAAGTGCATAAAGAACACCTGGGTGATGCAGGCACTGAAGGAAATGGCCTTGGGTCCAAACCAGAAGATGGCCAGTGTGTTGGGCACGGTGCAGGTGGATAACAGTATGTCGGCCACCGCCAGCATGGAGAGGAAAATGAACATGGGCTCGTGCAGCCTGCGCTGGGTGGTGATGAGCAGGAGGAGACCACAGTTCCCCACGACCGCCACCATGTACATCAGCGCGAAGGGGATGGAGATCCAGGGGTGCCAGGGCTCCAGGCCCGGGATGCCGACCAGGACGAAGGTGAGGTGACTGAACGTTGTGCTGTTGGGTGCCTCCATGGGGCGCTGAGAGCTCCGCTTGGGCGCCAGGCCCGGCTGAAAGGAGAGACAAGGTCTGTGCCTGCTGGGCTCTCGCCGCCTCACACTCACTTCTCACTTCCAAATCACACCCTGCGTCCCTGGTGTGAGAGCTTGCAGCCTGCGCTGGGTGGCGATGAGCAGGAGGAGACCACAGTTCCCCACGACCGCCACCATGTACATCAGCGCGAAGGGGATGGAGATCCAGGGGTGCCAGGGCTCCAGGCCCGGGATGCCGACCAGGACGAAGGTGAGGTGACTGAACGTTGTGCTGTTGGGTGCCTCCATGGGGCGCTGAGAGCTCCGCTTGGGCGCCAGGCCCGGCTGAAAGGAGAGACAAGGTCTGTGCCTGCTGGGCTCTCGCCGCCTCACACTCACTTCTCACTTCCAAATCACACCCTGCGTCCCTGGTGTGAGAGCTGCACTCAGAGCTGCTCAGGGCAGAGCCAGAGCTGGTGACAGGGACCTGTCAGGAGCTCAGAGGTGACCACTAGACAAACCAGCCACAGAGCAGACAGGGCCGGGCGGGGCGTCTCAGAGAGCCAAGCCAGTGAAGTCGGCCTCCCTCAGCTCTGGACACACCATGAAGCAACAAGGGACCGTTCAGCTACTGAAACTGCTCCCTGCTTTGCCCCTGAGAGACACTGGACCCCGCAGGAGGCTGCAGAGCCCACGAACACAGCGACCACTCAGAGGTGCCTCAGTGCAGAAAGGGGCACTAATGGATTCGGAGCCTGGGGACACAGGACTGGGCCCAGGATCCCAGCGGTGGCCGGACCGGCCCCAGACACGGCGGGGATAGAATCTCCCTGCGCCTACGGACAGTCCCCGGCCATAGAGCCATTCGAGCGCATTTGGCTCCAGCCCCGCGCTGGGGGTCCTGTTCATCTGACCCCTGAGTCCTTGTTATTTCCAGCGCCCCTGGAGCTTCATAGTGTTGCTTGGCTGGTAGGGGGGATCCATCCTGCTAACCCAGCACCCAGTCCATGGTCCATTGTGGCAAAAAAAATTCAGCCTCTCCCTGGTGAGAACTGGCCATCGCCGGGCAGAGGATCCTACGGGCAAGTTAATCATTGGCTTTAATTAGTAAATTATTATGCAGTTACACCCTATATTTGAGAATGTCACCTGTCAGTCTCTGTGTGTCCATCTGTCTGTCCGTTCAAGAATGCCTCTGAAGCAGTAGGAACCAGGGTCACCCAGTTTCCTGGGCAGCCACTTCTTATCCTAAATTCAAAGTAAGGTCAGTGCTTTTCTGTGCCAACAACATTGGCTGAGCCTGGAGTGGGACTGGGTCTGAGCACACCACACAGGAAAGAGAGAGACAAACCTGTCCCCTCTGCCCCACTGCCTGGGACTGCCCAGAGTCCCCTCCCCCCAGGCACATTGCGGGGGCTGAAGCTTCCCTCCCGCTTCCCACTGTTGGCTGGTCTCTCTTGCAGGCAGCGAAGGGAAAGCGGCAGAGGCAGCAGGCTGTGCAGTTGGCTGTGTTACTCATTGTGGTTGGTAGAGCAGAGGGGGATGGACGGACCAGGACCTACCCCAGCCGGGGCACATGAATCCCTCCCTGGCAGTGCCTGGCGGATTGAGGCAGCCATGGCAGGTTCATTTTATTTTCCAAATTCACACAGTACGGGAGTGTCAGCCCCGAGCAAGGCCAAGTCCCTTCCCAGCGGCACCAGAAGGCCCTGAGGAGAGATGAAACCTCTCACTCCCCACTGCTACTGGTGGCTGATTATTGCAGCTCCGGGCGATCCTGGAGAAGAGTCACGTTCCCCCACATCTGCCCCTGCCCTTCCCTGCAGCCCTGGTGCTGCTCCCGGGGATGGGGGGAGGCAGGCTGGTCTGACTGGACCCTGCACTGACCCAGGCTGGAAAGGCCCGTTGGCAAGAGCCGGACTTTGCTCTTTGCTGTTTTAACTTGTCGCCCCAGGCCAACAGCTTGTCAGTAAGTGCTCCATGGGGCCACAGCCAGGCCCAGCTCAGAGACACCCAGGAGACTTTCTAGGGTAACAGCTGAGCAGGATCCTCTGGCACGAAGGACCCCCCCCTCCCCCCCCCGTGGACTCCTCTGCGCCCTGGAACGTCCTCCAGATGCAGAAATCTCCGAGTGCCCCAGACAGGGACGTTCCATTGCAAACCCTGCCTAGGTGCCGGCGCCTCCCTACCAAGTCCCTGGGGCTTTTCTCCTGGCTGCAGAATCCCTGCTGCTCACCCCAGCCCTTCTCACTGCTTCAGTTGCATCCCTGGGCAGCCTTTCCTCAGCCCCCCGCCCCACCCCAGGCAGGCCCAGACCCCAGCAGCCCAGACGCAGAATGTAGGAGCAGAGATGTCGGCTGCTCCATGAGAATTGCACCTTCCCTCCCAGCACAGAGTAACTACAGAGCGTCCGTCTGTCCCTGCCCGTCTGTCCATGCACCCGCCCTCTCTGCCACCTCCAGTCCTGCCCCAGTGTCTGTGTCCTGGACGCTCATTCTCATTTCGTAGTGGAGTCCTGTCCATGCACCCGCTAGGAAATGCTGGTGCCTCTGCCCGGCCCTGCTCTGGGCTCTCAGGCAGGGAAACCAAGACTTGTCTTCACCCCGTGGTGACCGCCCTGAGTGGAGCTGAGCAGGGTGCCGTGGGGAGGGGCAGCGGATTTATCCCTGCAGTATCGGGGCCAGACAGAGGCCAGGACATTGGAGGGGACGGAATGTCTCAGTGCTGTTCCTGGGCTCACTGTGCCTAGCAGCCATGGGAGAGGGGACCAGTGCGGCTCATTGCAGGCAGTACACTGGCTCTGAGCCCCTGGCAGCCCGCTCTGTGCTTCCCCTGCCTTTCCTTCCCCTGCGGGTGCCATCCTGCTCCCCCCGACCTGCCCCCGCTCCCAGGGACACCAGGGGACATGGAGGTTTCCCTGTACTGGGTCCTTGGCAAGCTCAGATCCCGCTGATGACACGAGAGGGCACCTTTCTCAGCAGGGGGGCAGTCATGTGGGAATCCCACCCCCCCCAAGCCCTCACCAGGCTGCTGCCCCAGACGGGGATGAGGAGTCTCTGCCTGGGATCCAGGTGGGGAGCTTCAGGAGGCAGGAACCACACTGGCCGGGGCTCGGAGGCAGGGACATTTATCCTGCCTGCCTAGGAGTCCCAGTGGGGTCGGAGCCAGCAGGGAGCCCTGGGCACAGAGCAGTTTCCAGCTCAGCCGCAGGCAGGGGCAGGCTGGGATCAGGGGATCTGGGTGTTTACAGGTATGTTGTTCCTGGTATCTTGGAATCGAAATGCAGCTGGAAATTCCCCCTCCAGTTCCAGCAGAGATGCAGCTGAGTCAAATGGGGCCTGAGCAGCTTCTGTGCAGTGGAACGCCTGCCTAAATTTGTTCTTCTGTAACAGGTGCCACCGCAACCTACCAGAATGATGATAATTTATGGGGCATGGTGGTACCGAGGTACAGAATAGAGAGCAGTGGGAGAAGACGCCCAATTGTCAGGGGAGTGGAACTAGACAGGAAAGGAAACAGAGATGCCGAGCTAACATGAGTAGACCCAATTAGTGACTGTGCCTTGGAGCAGCGAGTCTTGGAACCGGAGCACGGTATTGGGAGATTAGACACTGGCAAGATAGGAATTAGGGGGAATATAATGGAGGTCTGTAAAAGCATTTGTAATTCACACACCTAGTGTGGTTCACTGTCCCCTGGAGTGGCACTTCGCACACTTTAGCTATGGCTATACTGCAGAGCTTTTCCGAAAAAGCGGAGGCGTTCTTTCGCCATCCCTGTATTCCGCTCAATGAATACATTTGGCCTGAGTGGAAAGGCCAAATTTAGGAATAGTCTCTTTCAGAAAAAAAGTGGAAAAAGATGCTCAATTTGCTCATCTTTTTCCAACTTCTCTCTGCAGTGTAGACATGGCTTTACAACAAGATCTAAGAACAAGGGAAGTCTACAGACTAGCCTGAGAGCCAACTGCCTTTGGAGTTCAACCTAGAGACTCCTCCACTAAGCTTTAGAGGGCTTATGTTTTGAATCTTCTAAGTGGCGGTTACATGTGCATGGTCTGGGGAAAATGAATAAGGACATATGATTTACCCCTTGCCATAACACAAGGACAGGAATCACCGGATGACATTAACTAGTAACAGGTTTAAAAGAAATGAATACAATTATTTCTACACACAGTCAATGCGTGGAACTCCTTGCCCAGTGATGTTTTGAAGTTTAAGCCAAAAACAGTGTTGAAAGAATGAATTAGATAAATCCAGGGACATCAATGACTATTAGTGATTGGTAAGATGCTCTGGGTATCCATAAACGTCTCATTGTGACAAGCGGGGCTAGTCGATAGGGGTCGATGGCTTTATGTCTCCCCTGTGTGTTCATCCCCTCTGCACCACAAGGCACTGGCCCCCATCAGACGACAGGACACTGGGGGTATGTCTAGACTACCGCGTTTTGTCAACAGAAGTTTTGTCGACAGATACTGTCGACAAGACTTCCGTCGACAAAGAGCGTCCAGACACATTGAGTTCTGTCGACAAAGGATAGGGGTCGATGGCTTTATGTCTCCCCTGTGTGTTCATCCCCTCTGCACCACAAGGCACTGGCCCCCATCAGACGACAGGACACTGGGGGTATGTCTAGACTACCGCGTTTTGTCAACAGAAGTTTTGTCGACAGATACTGTCGACAAGACTTCCGTCGACAAAGAGCGTCCAGACACATTGAGTTCTGTCGACAAAGAAAGCTGTATTCTGGACACAACATTACAGGCAATAACACCTTCTGTCGACAGAGTTCTGTCGACAGAAGG